TCAAAATTACTTTTTTTTAATTAAGGAAATATTTCAGAAGTTTTTCAAGGCCAACCTCACATACTATCTTCTCCTAAAAGCATTTCTTGGTTCTTTCCACTGATCCCCAAACCTGACTTCATTATTACAATAAATATTTATTGCACAGACTCTCCATGGCAGACATTACGTGAGAGCTGAGGATTCAAAGATGAAAAGCCTTGTCTTTGCTATCAGGTGTTTAATCTTGTTGAGGCAATCGGTATATACACAAATAAGACATTTGAATTCATTGTACTAATATAGATATATAAAACATGCTGTACACATACTGATGATGTAAAAATTACCTGTTCTGAGATCCTCAAGGAATTCTACACAAAAGAGATGGTGTCTGAGCAAAATCTTAAAGGAAGACTAAAATTTTTAAGTTTTCAATTTTTAAGTTTTCCAGATGGGATTGGTAGAGTGGGGATGGGGGTAATATTTCAGGCTTTGGTGTTAAAAAAAAAATAGCATATGCAAAAGCACAGAGCACACAACAGGCTGGTGGTTAGAGAAACATAGGGTCTATATGGAAAAATATTGGCATGTGAGGTTAAAAATGTGAGCAGAATTTAGCTCATTGAAAGTCTTAAATGCCTTGGGGCTCCTGGGTGACTCACTCAGTTAAATGTCTGACTTGATTTCAGCTCAGGTCATGATCTTGCAGTTGTGGGATTGAGCCCCACATCAGGCTCTGAGCTGAGCAGGGAGCCTGCTTGGGATTCTCTCTCTCTCTCTCTCTCTCTCTCTCTCTCTCTCTCTCTCTCTCTCTCTCTCTCTCTCACTGCCCCTCCCCTGCTCTCTCTCTCTCAAAAAATAAATAGACATCAAAAAAAGTCTTAAATGCTTTGTTAAGAAGTGTAGATTTGCATCTTCTGGGCAATGAGAAGTGACTAAAGAATTTTGAGCAGAGAAGTGTATGGTGAGGTAAAAGTTTTGGAAAGATTGCTGTGATTACATGATGCATGATCAATTTAAAAAGAATAAAAGGGAGATGGAAAGCCAATTTGGTTTACAGAATCCATTAGCAATCATGAGAGCCAGGCTTAGGGACTGCAGATGCAGGGACAGAGAGAATAGGATGTATTCAAGAAATGTTTAAAGACTAATTTGTTAATGAACTATATGGAAGGATGAGGTTGAAAGAGAGAATCAAAGATGACCCTATGATTTCTGCAATGAAACTAAAAGATTATAAATTACTTGCCCAAGTCACCTTATGACTAGTGGATAGGGTTTGACTCAGTTTTTTCTAACTCCAAAGCCAAGGCTATTTCCATTCTCTACCCTGTACCCTGAAAATTAGTCAAGAGTCTAATTTGCATGCATCAGTATCCCTTAGTGAGAAGGGCTGTATGTCTTGACCTGGCACCTAGTAAGCACTCAATCAATAGCAGTTGAATGAGTGAATTAAATCTTAGTAGATCTATTCAATCCTGCTATATTCTTTCAGGCTAAACTTTGCCTCAAATACATGATATTTATGTTCTGTTTTATTCCATTTAACTGTATGTATATCTTGGTCCCTCTTTTAAATTGCAAACCCTTTAAAATCATGAGCTATATCTTAATAATTCTCTTACACTTTGTAGCATGTAACATAGTATTTATTTCATACAGTATGTTCTTCATAAATACATATTTAATTAATATCCTATTGCTGTCCATGTAAGATTACCTGAAAAGCACCCATTGTCTTTGACTGTCAGCATAATTTACAAATATACAGAATCCAGTTTATGGGATGTACTTAAAGCTCTCTTCAAACTCTGTTTGTAAGATACCTTGCACAGCTCCTCAAACAAATGATTTTTTTTAAGTTTATTCATGTATTATTTCAGAGAGAAAGAGAGAAAGAGAGCACAAGCAGGGGAAGGGCAGAAAGAGGGAGACACAATCCAAAGCAGGCTCCAGGCTCTGAGCTGTCAGCACAGAGCCCAAAGTGGAACTTGAACCCACAAACAACAAGATCATGACCTGAGCCGAAGTAGCCACCCAGGTGCCCGATTAACGAAACGATTTTTGATGAGACAAGAGAACAATAGTGAAAGCCTGTTGACCTAATTAGGAATTATTAGCAATATAATCCCTTAAAATTAATTAAATATTAAAATCAGAGAGCAGAGAAAT